CCCCCCCCCCATCTCAGTTTTCCACCCACTTCTTCTCTCCTGCACGCTCTTCTCCCCCCGAGGGCCGACTGTACCTACGCAAAGTTTTACTGAAACTTCATCTTCCTCCGACACCAAACTTTTACAGTAACCTTTACAGTGCAGCCGAGGGAGGGAGGGATGAAGTTGAGCTGCTTAGTTTTGTTTGTGACCTCGCTGCCCTTCCTCAGTGAGAGAGCCACGGCCGGAAGGATTCCCTCCGCCGCCGAAGAGAAATGTCCTTTTATGCGAGTCACAGGTTGTTTTTTTCGAGCTGAGCCAGATTTGTCTTCGGCTTCGAGCGTGACTCCGAGGGAAGATCTTAAAAAGAGAAAGCTCCTCTTCCTCCTTCCCGTTAACTTCCCCTCTTTCCTGTTTCCGTTGTTACAGAGACAAGAACAAGCACTTCTTTTCCTCCCGAGGTGTTTTCTCTTCGTCTTCACCTTTGTCTCACTTTGTTGCTCTCAATCCAAACGTCCTCCATCTTTTCTGTTCCTTCCTCCAGCGTCCCTCCCTCTTCTTGTCCCTTTCTTCCATCAGCTTCTGTCTTTTGACTCTCTCCCTACTTTTCCCTTCACTTCGATTGCTTTCCATCTTTACTCCTCTGTCCCTCATTAAAGCTTCTCTCCTTCTCTTTTCTCCCTCCAATAATCTTCCTCTCTTTCTCCACATTTCTGTTTTTGTCCCTTGTTCTTCTACCAACATCACCTTGTTTACTCTCCTACGTCTTTTTTTCCTCTTAAAAATCCCTCCATCTTTTATTTCCTCCCCCCTCCTCCCTCTGACAGCTGCAGTTTAGCCACAGAGCTAACTTCTCCCCGGAGGCGGTTTGTGCGTTTCTGTGTGTGTCGGAGTTTGAATCAAAGGCACCTTTGCTGGGTGAACGCACCTCCCTCACACACAGCGCTGCACTTCCGTACTTGTGAGGACTCGTCATTAACATAATGCGTTCGCTGTTTCCTGACACTCGATCATCGGAACAACACGCCTCACCTCAAAACCAAGAACTTTAAAGAAGCCTGGACCAATAAACTGTTCTCACTTTCTACATCTGCCCTTGTTTCTATAAACAGTTTCTCTCTTCAAACGTGTCCTCTGAAGACAAAGATGAATGGTCCCACAAACGTCCACATTCTCCAAAATGTTCACAAAGTCCTCATCAGTTACAAATGTCCTCTGTTTCCAATCCTTGGTTTCTTTAAATAGAAAACAGAAATAAAACATCCTCCTATTCATGTCTTCACTTTTTTCAGAAACGTTCTTGCTTTCCACACATGTTCATGTTTCCTGAAACAACAGAATCTCATCTTCTGCTCGTCATATTTTGCTGCTTGAGAAGCCTTTTGCGTATATCTTGACGCAGACGGTTTGCGTGTTAAGGTTGAGAAACGGTCACGGAAACGTTGACAAACTGGGGCGGTAAGGTTTAGGCAATAAAGCTGCCGGAAAAAAATAATATAAGTACTTGTAGCAAAACGTTAGCTATGGACGTAATGTCTCATGACTCAGCCACCTAGCATCACATGACGTAACGTTGTTGGTAAAAACTGAACTTTTGGTTTCACATGGGACACGAACATCGGCCCCCTGAGTGAAAGTCCTGTTTGTTCGATCTACTTGGTTCATTTAAGGAAAAGATCACGTTTGTGGTTAAATTAAGTACGTTTGCTACGTAGCAAAGTACGGAAGTTAAACAAGCGAAACTTAACTACTACTAAATAAGTCAACGTTGACCTGGTTCACTAAGGACACTAACAGCGGTCTCCTGGGTGAAAGTCCTCAGTTTCCATCCTCTCCTCCCACCCGCTATGAATGGACTTCCTCACTCATACCTCCATTGCTCTGACTATCTATTAATATCTTAACTTTCTAAAAATGTCCACTTCTTATGAAGTGACCTTGCTTTGTATAAACGTCTGCACTCTCAAGGTCTCGAGCTGAAACTGGTCCTCACAAAGACAGAAGTACAGGAACACACACACACACTTTTCTGTTTCCCAGGCCCGGACCACGCTGCCTCGTTTCTTGCCAGAGCAATTTTCCTAATAATCCCCCCCACCCACTTCGTCTGCTCTCAAACTCTCCTCCCCCCTCTTCCTTCTCCGCACTGCGTTTTCCTGCATCAGCATATCAAACTCACCCCACCCAGAGCCGCTCCCCCCCCCAAACACCACAGCCTCCCTGCCAGTTGCCTTCCTCACCCCAATTATTTCCCGGGACCTTAGCTTGGAGGGATTCTCTCACCCCCGCGCTCTGTTTTGTAGTCGCTAACCTTCCCTTCAGTGCAGGTGGAGGCGTCCATTGTGTAATAAATACAGGGAGGTGTCCATGTTTTCTGTGGCGTCATCAGGACGAATGCTCCCGACAGGTAGATTAAGACTGTAACAAGAGTCCAGTGGGAGCTTCTGAAGGACACGACCGCCATCGGGTTTTACAGACACAGTTTTCTCAGCATTCCCTCTCACACTGAGGTCTGTTTTTAGCGTTGACCGCTCGACCTTGCATCCTTACTAATAAGAGTTCTTTCCTCTGAAAAATGGAGCTTTTTGAAGTGAGTAAATATGAAAAATGCGCCGTGGAATTTAGTGTGGACGACGTTTTGCACTCTGCTCCTCACAGTTTCACAAGCGTTTAGAGAACTACGGTGGCCTTCAGGTAACGTAAAAACATGAAAGCACCTCTCCAGAGCCAGTGGTTTGTCCTTTCTGGGCTACTGTAGAAACATGGCGGAGGAACATGGTGGACTCCATGAAGAAGACCTGCTCCCTGTGCAGATATGAAGGGCTCATTGTAAGCTAATGCTTCTTAGTTTCAGGTGATTATACACTAATGAAAACATAGTTATGAAAATTATATTTCATTTCTGCTAACAGATCCCTCAAAATGCTACACACTGGCCTTTTAAGTCTTCTTTTCCCCCGACCTGTATTCTTCAGATTAAACTGC